CCTTTGAAAACACTGATGCATGACCATCTTTCACCACCACACTGCTCAGGCCCACACGGGCGTGTGCACGCGTCCAGCGGTATCTGTATCAACAGGCGAATTATAAACCATGTCAATCCAAGTTAATGCAAAGCCGTAATCCTCTTTAACTGGAGATCAAAATCAGCGCCATGAGTTATGTTTGTCCCGCAATCTGATAAGCAACAGAAGGAGCCTCTAATAAAAAGAATAACGAGAACCCTTAACGATGCAGTTAAGAGGGAGCACCCATTTAAAAACACCGCTCTTGTTCCAAGCGATTAGATCAGTGCCGTGCAATTTCGCCCTGCCCCGGTTCACCTGCTGGAGGCCGGCACCATCTCCATCGCATTGAGAGCTCTTCAAGGAAACTCTCTTGCGGGAGACCTTGAAAGTTGTCCAACTTTGCACAATAGCACAAAGACGCTGTTACAAGGTTAGGGTCATCACACAGCATGTGTTGTATGCTCTCAGTGTTTATGCAGCACATGCAGAAATTAAGTCCACAGGGTTGGATATGAGGTCTTCAAAATTAATTCATATCAGCAATGTATGGCGAGTTATGTCCAGACTACAAGTATGCCTAAATGCTGCGGAAACACAGGTATGGTGATATGCCACCTTCCAGGAAAGTGTTTGTGCCCAAAGAGCAGTTGTCTGGTGTTAAACTACCACTATTTTATGTGAAATTATTACTCCCAATTAGAAATTGGTGGTAAGACGCTGAGCTGCAGACTGGAAGATCGGCAGATCGGCAGTTCAAGACCCTAGCGCTGTGTGACGGGGTGAGCTCCCATCTCTGGCCCCAGCTCCTGACAACCTAGCAGTTCGGAAGCAAGAAATTGGAAGTACATAAATAGGTACCACTTCAGTGGGGATGTAACAGCGTTCCATGTGCCTCGGCATTTAGTCAAGCTGGCCACTTGACCACGGAAAAGTCTTTGGACAGCGCTGGCTCTTCGGCTTGGAAACGGAGATGAGCACCGCTCCCTAGAGTCGGATCCAACTGGCTTTTGAGCAAGGGAAACCTTTACCTTTTTAGTATAGGATTACTAATACCTTATAATGGTTTTAGACATGCTGACTGGGATGCGAGATCCATTAGAAACAAGCAGACTTCCAATTTAAACGACACATAATTAGGGTGCAGGAGACACACAGCAACCTAGGCAGGTCCCTGCCATTTTGCTACAGGAATTCTTAGAGGCAGCCAGCATGGTATAGTGGTTAGGCTGTTGGCACTAGGATCTGGGAGGCCCAGGCTCAAGTCCCCGCTCTGCCAAGGAAGCCTGCTGGGTGTCTGTGGACCAGCCGCACACTGTCAGCCTAGCCTACCTCACAGGGTTGTTGGGAAGATAAAATGAAGGAGACAAGAACGATGTTAGCTGCATTGGGTCCCTGCTGCGGAGAAAGGTGGGGTTTGAATGAAATAAGATTTAAAATAAAAATAAATAAAAGGCTTTAGATAGTTTCTGATCCTTACGAACATGTGAAGCTGCTCCAGACCAGTGTTCCCTCTAAGCTGAGTTAGTGTGAGCTAGCTCCCAATTTTTTAGCCTCCGGCTCACAGATTTTTATCTTGGCTCAGGAAGGAGGGCTCCAGTGCAAACTAACTGAGGCAGCAGCCACATCGCTTGCTCAGAACTTTAATGCCAGTGGCTCACAAAGAAGAATTTTTGCTCACAGGATCCCACCACTTAGAGGAAGCGCTGCTCCAGACCATCGTCCCATCTAGCTACAGGTGTCTATTCCAACTGGTACCGGCTCTGCGTGGTCCAAGAGGATCAGTTTTAATGGGAGATGCCAGGGCCTTGTTATGCTATGAAACAACGAGCCCCCTCCATATGAAGTTTCTTTGTACCACGGCACACCACTGCTCGCTACTGTCTAATCCCTAAACTTTTTGAGGCTGCAGGCACCTTTGGAATTCTGACAGAGCACGGTGGGCCCAGGCACAAAATTGTGGCAGCGGGAGGCAGAGCCAGCCACTAAATGGCTGCTACAGCGAAGATCCTGGTGCTGTGGTGGCAGTTTAGTTATGGGAATGCTATTAAAACTGCAGAGCTCTGATAACAATGGTTACTTTTAAACTGTGGGGTTTTTCTGGACTGCAGCCACCAGTGTTCCCTCTAAGCTGAGTTAGTGTGAGCTAGCTACAGCTTTTTAGCCTCCAGCTCACAGATTTTTGTCCTAGCTCAGGGAGTCACAACACATTATGCAACATTTTGTTGCAGGTCCCCTCTTGTAAAAATACATAAACCCAAAATGTGAAATCACAATTTAGGGCAGCTTTTATCAAATGCAGTCTTAAATAAAATCGTCTTCAGCTGTCTCCTAAAGTTCAAAAGTGGGGAGGGTGTTGAGGCTGAAAAGCCCCTCTCCTCACGAACCACCAAACGAGCTTCCTTGATTGATAGGACAGACAGGAGGCCCCTCCCGGAGATCTTAATTCCTGGGCAATAACACATGAGAGAAGACAGTCCTTCAGATACCCCGGGGTCCCAAGCCATGCAGGACTTTAAAAACCAACACCTTGAACTAGGTTCGGGAGTCGATTGGTAGCCAGTGTAATTGTCCTAGTATCAGGGTCACGTGCTTCCAACAGCTGGCTGCAACCAACATTCCAGCCACAGCATTCTGCACTAGCTTCCTTCTGGCACTATAGGTTGATTGCCTCTGTAGATGGAGGCTCCCTTTAGTCACCATGGATAGTAGCCAGTGAGAGACTTCTCCTCCATGAATCTGTCTAATTCCTGCCACCTTCCTGTCTCTCTCCCCCCTCCCCTTCCCGGACAATTAATTTCTTTTACAGGCTTTAAGCACCTTGCTGTTTTTTCTGATTTTCCCCCCACACTATAAACACACAGACACTCCTGTCGTACAGGAATTTATTTATTTTGGGGTCAAGCCTCCAAAATGACTGAGCAAAAAGCCCAGCGCCTGATCATACGGCTGTGAAATGTGCATTTACATTTTCAATCTAGTAATTCACACTTGCAAACAATGAAATTACCTGCCCCTGCCGCTAAAGGAAGCGTCATTAGCATTACCTTCCCACCTTAGTTGCATGCACAGGTTCTGAGTTAGTACTATTTTATTTCCAAGAGCAAAACAAAACAAAATGCAATTTTCACGCTGGAGTTTCAAACTGGATGTTGCGTTATTCACTAGTCTTTATTCGTATTATGAGCCCCATGCTACAGTGGGGGGAACCTTTCATTCTACAACTGCACCTGGAAGGGGGGTAAATTTGCACCAGATGCCATAGCTGAGCATCCAATCCAGTCTTGAAATAAGAAATCCTAGAGATGAAACTGTGTTCCAGTGCCACCCTAAGCAAGGGGTGTTAACTCTGTTCAGGATTGTATTTATTTCACTAATACTCCACCTTTCTCCTTGATAGGGCCCAAAGACTGCCTAAATCCTCCTCCTTTTATCCTCACAACGACCCTGTAAGGTAGGTTAGGTGGAGGGAGTGTTACTGGTCCAAGGTCACCCAGCGAGCTTCCATGGCAGAGTGGGGATTCGAACCTGGCTCTCCCTGATCCTAGTTTGACACTCAAACTGTCACACCACGCCAGCTGGCACTGTTAGTCTATTACAACAAGAAATGCCCAATTGGGGGGGGGGGGCTTAAAGACTAGTAAATATGATCTTTATGGACTAAATTTATACCCTAATGGATTTACTAGTCTTAAAAGGACGTTTAGGCTAGGGCTGCAAACTTCCAGGTGGTGGCCGGAGATCACCTAGAACTGCACCTGAGCTGACCTCCAAGCAACAGAGATCAGTTCTCCTGGAGGAAATGGCAGCTTTGGATACCCTGCTGAGGCTGAGGCCTCCCTCCATCTCAAGCCCCACCTTCCCCAGGCTCCACCCTACAGCTAAAAATTATTTGTATAATTATACTATTTATAAATTCTAACGATTATATAATTTCCATTTTGGTGTAGAACAATCTGGAGAGCATGTGCCGTTACCATAAGAGGCTATCCATGGCCTACTGAGTAAACTTTTAGCAACCGCACATCACATGAGGTAACAACAGCAAAAATTTCCTGTTATTTTAAACTTTATTATCATGTGCATTTATTATGTGCATCTGGTATGTAATAATTAGGGGTTTTTTCTCTCCCTTTTGACAATTCGAGAAAACAACCCCTGGCCCTAAAGAAAATCTTTGTTCATATATTTATTTCTGGATGTGTGTTGTTTTACGATAGTGATATTGACCACTGAGGAAGACCCTATGGGGCCGAAATGCGTATGGTCTTCTGGTCATAAGATATACCCATCCACTGTATATGTAAAACTATCAGCTCTGTGTGTAAAAAGGTTTAAGAGTCTGATAATTGGATCATTTCTTTTAACCTATTTTATCTTTTACTAATGTGAACACCATAATAAATATTTGCATTTTTAATAACTTATTTTGTTAGCTTGACCCTCATATATCACAGCCATATCTTGGGTTGAGTCCCCACCCCCCCCTTTTTTCTCGGTTTTTGTCCACCCTGAAAATCTCCGGATATTTCCCAACCCAGAGTGGCAACCCTAGTTCAGACTCTTGGCTGCCCTGAAAAAAGTGATCTGAATGGACTCTGTTTAAAAGAAAATCGCTTACGGAGCAAGATAACACGTGCGCAACATATGCCAAGAGCACAGAAACATCAGAAGATCACTGCTGGATCAGACCAGTTGTCCATCTCGTCCAGGACCCCGTTTCACAAAGTAGCCACTTGCCCTGGAGGGCCAACAAACAGAGGGGGTGGGGTGGGGGAACACACTGCCATATAACATAGCGTACCATTCCAGAAGTAAAGGCACAGCTGGCTCGGTAGGACAGACGTGGCCGGGGAGTGCTCTGCCGGTGACAAATGGCAAGCAGATACAAAGAACCTGAGCTGGTGACAGGCTGAAGAACAGGTCAATAGCCAGCTGTCACGAAGCCCTCCGAGAAGCGTAATTAACCGCTTACTAACCTGGCATCGTCATTCATTGTGCAGTGGTCTATGGGCGCCATGAAGCTCACCAGCTTGCTGTGGACGTGATACCTGACATCAGGCAGAGGTGGGGAGGGGAGAGAACAGACAATGGATTAAGGAGCTATTGAGAAAGGGGTGGGGGGGAGAGTGGAAAATTCTCACGCTTTCACAGAAAGTGTCCCTAGTCGCTAAACAGCCAGAAGGCATGTGCTCAAGACTTAACTGCGTATCCTTGGGATGCAACATGAGAACAGAGGGCCACTCAACAAATCAACAGGCAAGTCAAAAAGAATTCCCAGTATTTTTCGAATAGGACCTGTTTTTAGAGGAGCACGGGCAAAAGAGGCAAGTTGGAGAGAATCTGCTGA